CACTATCTAATACACAATTAACAGAATAAAATCTTAAAAGTAAGATTTCAAAAAGTATTTACTAAGAAACTTGACAACAGTGTTCATCCATCAGTTACGGAGTAGCCCTTTTTGACGACATCAGTATGCAGGTAGGTAACCTGTACAGTGTCACAGATATGACCAGACAGGCCTCTTGTATATTTTCAAAAACTCTTTTAAATTCAGACTCTTTCCTATATAACACATTTCAGGAGAAAAGAAGAATCACAGAAAGAAACAGGGGAAGAAGAGGCTTGAAGTTCTTCTTAAAGTCCATGTACCTTTTTCTCAGTAGTTCAGGATTTGCCTCTTTGTGGAGCAGTCTGTAAGACCTGTTCAGAAAGCCTTCTAATTCGAGACTCCTTGCCTTTGGCGTGTAACTACATCAAAGTAATTTTGAAGTCACAACCAAATGTAAGTAGACCTGATTAAACCATTATTTTATTTTCTCGCTGTAGAAAAAAAAGAAATGTTCTTCCTCCTGAGAAAAAGCATTTTGGATTAATGTACAAATATCCACAAAAAAAAAAATAAAAAAAAATCCCAGATTTACTAATAAATAAGAAGAGTAATATAGATAATTATAATCTTAGATACAGTATACATTAGTTTTTGCATATTTATATTTTCTTATATTTGGCTAAAAGTCTGATGATCTCATTTTACTTTTTAAATAATGAGAAATTCTGCCTTGTTATGAAATACCATTTATACATGACCTCTCTAGATCCAGGAGACATTGGCAGTATTTTATCAAGTCCTTCATAATTTCTATTCGTTAGCCATAAAAACATTCCTGCATAATTCACTAGTCCCTGCATTTTTCCAGATTCTTTTGTTTTCCAGCTCTAAACCAGCTTCACAATCTAGAAACAAATATTCAAGCTAAATCATGGTAAATGTGTTAAATTTTGAAAAGTCATGTAACGACAAAAACAGTCAAATGAGACAAGCCTCCTAATCTTTGAAACACACATGTAGGTAGCTTCTCAAATTGTGTTAATGAAATCAAAACTGTTCAGCATTTGACAGATAGGAAAGTACATCAGTAAGCTTTTCTCCTTGAGAAATTGTGTCTTTTAAATATTAATTATTTTTGAACAAGGGCACACTGAAAAACAATATACAATTTTTCACTGATATAGACTGTAAACCTCCCATTACCTTGTACGGGACTACATCTCAGTCCCAGCTGGTGCTGGACCTTAGGTCATTCCTGTGTGAGCTGCAAGTGTTAGGTATCTTTCAGGACCTTTGTATTCCTAAAATTTATTATCTCTAAAGAAGAAATAGCTACTAGTCAGTGTTCTCCTCCAGTGTCTGAAATCCTCTTGTGCTGGTGTTCTAGAAACATCCATGCAACTAGTCAAAATAAACCTTTAGTGTAGCACAGAATCATCTTCAAGGCAGCTACATGAAAATAAAATTTGATTTCTCTTCATGAGAATACCATCACGTAATTCTGCTATGCAATGCTTTTGTTTAATAATTCATTGAAGTCTCTGAGCTTCATATAAGAAATTGAATATACAAGCACTGCTTAAGTGTAGAATAAACATGAGCTAAATTATTTTTCTAACTAAAAAAAAATGTGTTGTAAAAGAGTTGTCCAGGGCAGATTAGATTTTTTCAGTAATTGTAGTGATGGCAGCACTATTTTCAGTAATATTTTATTTACCAAATTAGACAAAATATTACCCCAAAAATACATTTATCAAATCATCTCTAGATTTCTTTCATTCTACAACTCATAATTTAACCTGGATAAGTGAGTGAAACACTGGAACAATGTATTGCCAAGTTTCCAACTGTTGAAACTTGTGGCAAGTAATATGTAAAAGCATAAGGAAAAAAACCACAACCCTTTCCTATATTTTTACACCTTTTGTGTGCATAAATGAAATCCAAAAGACAACACAATAACACATCAGAATGGTTCTTTCTGGCTTTTCCTAACTGTAAGATAGCACCTTGTATCTGACCAGCAGAGACGTTGCAGATGGATGGCTGATTCAGAAGTTATTAGCAATTACTTAAAAAATTATTTGTATAAATGAGCTCCAGGCCACAGTCTAACTAGGTAATTTGTTTCTTTTCCATGCTCTGTCACAATAAGCCATTCTCAGTGCGTGCATGTTTCTACGATAGCTTTGTAAATTATGTGGAATAGCAAGGAATAATGAGCATTAACATCAACAACACTGTTTTGGGTCAAACCAAAGCTACATCTAGCCTACCCAACCTGTGGCAGCAGCTCCAAAGTGCCTAGCAATGACTAAGATTGGGACACGTGTAAATGACACTTCCTTCACACAATCTCCCAGCTTTCAGATGCCTTCAGCTCAGAAAATATCTTTTGTTGTACTGGTTTCTGTTTACATCCTGGCCCGCCCCAGATTTTTCTTCACTGAACTTGCCCATTGCCTCCTTGGGTCCAGATAAACTCTTGGCATCACAGTCCCCTGTGGTAGAGAGTTGCAGAACTCAATTAACTGTGAAGTGAAAAATCACCTCCTTTTGCTTACTTTGAATGTGTGCCCTCATAGTTTCAACAGTTCCCTTGTTATTAAATCGAAAGAGAGCAAACACTTCATTCCTGACTACCCTCTCCGTACCACAAATGAGTTTATAGCACATCCTCTTTTCAGTTGTCTGTCTTCCAGATGAAAAAGTCTGGGTTTACTTAATCATTCCCAATGCTTTAATCATAGCTGCTGCCCTTTTTCAAGCTTCATCATTTCTGCTTTTTAAATTTTATTTTAATGGGATGACAAGATGTGGGGAAACTATGAGTTTACACAGTAATTCAACAATGTCCTCTCTCTTAGTCTCCATCGTTTTCCTGATAGTTCTTAATAATGGATTTGCTTTTTGGCTATTTGTGATTTCGGAAATGACACTTTGTTAACTCTAGATCTCACTTCAGACTGTTGCCAAACAGCTCAGAGCCCACTATTTCACAAGCGGAATTAGTCAGGATTTTTCCACACACATATCTTCTTATATTTATCAGCACTTAATTATACCTCTGGTTTTATCGCCCACCTAATCTTCTAAGATCCTTCTGCAGTTCTGCAGTTGGTCCTTAGTTTTGCTACTCTGAATAATTCCATGACACCAGTACACTTTGTCATCTCACTGCTTATCTCTTTTTCCAGGACTTTTAGAATATGAAGCAGGGTCTAACTGTTTTTTTTGGATAACTCTTCAGATGATCTTTCCAAGCAGGACCATTCACTCCTACCCTGTATTTCTTATCTTTTAACCACTCATCTAAACAAAGATACCTTATGGTATTGCCTCTTAGTTTCCTTAAAAGCCAGTGATAACGCTTTGATAAAGGACTTTCTGAAATCTAAGCAACCAGATCACTCATTTCTGTCTGTTTGTTAACAGCCTTCGGAACCCCAATAGATGTGTGATATAGAACATCCCTTTATCAGAGCCACGCTGACTCTTCCCAAGAATAGAATACTCAGGTACTCACTATTATTTATTATAGTTTCTATTACTCTGTTGACAGAAGCTTGCAGACCTCCTCTTCAGATCTCTACTAGAATTCTTTTTTAAATAACAGGGTATTTGGTACTTTCCAGTTCACTTTTTTTTCTATGGTTTTATATTTCCGAAGTACTAACTTTATACTGGGATCACACTTTCTTCTCTGGCATCTACTTTTGGTATGTCTGAAGAATTATATCTTATTTCTATCATTTGTAGAAATACAATTACATGGTCAACATTGCAGTTTTTCTTTGGCACATCTGTTATATAAGACACACTGAAGAAAAGGAATTTAAGAAAAAAAAATAATTATGTGATAAGGTTCCCAAATATATGTAGCAGGAAACACAGAAAAATGTTTGGCACAATTTTATTTTTTCTGAATTCTGACTTCTACCATATGCTTAATGAATGCGATGCGGGGATCTGCAATCAGAGCTTAGAGATAACACTGGAAAAAGTTAATTAAAAAGGATCCTGAGAATATCCTAGTCCTTCTTCGGAGAAAAATTACCCAGTGTGATGGCTTTCAAGCATAAATAGCTACTGAAGTGGCAGGGAATTTAAGAGTTTCATTTGGAAGTGAAGGCAGAGGAAGGTGAAAGCATGTTTTCATCTTGTCTTTATGCATTACACTGGAACCACAGAAATTATGTGGATGGATCCTTTGGAAAAATGGTATCTCTGAGGTGAGAGTAAAAACCACCAAGGAGTTGTACTAAAATGCTTTTATACAGGAATGAAGGTACTCATGCAGGAAATCAAACTGGCACTTTTATATTAATAATGCTTCAAATTATTACTATTACTCTGACAACTTTCAGAACTTTTCCACTAATGAGTTAAAGGCAGATTCAGAAGAATTCATCCCAAGTAAAATGAAGTGAAGCAGGTAAGAAATTTCAGGGGAATGGAGATATTGCCACTTCTTAATAACTACCTAAACACAAGGCTCCCGATGTTATGAAAATAGCAGCAACACTGGACTATTAATTTCCTTCTTAAGCTATAATGCTGCAGACTGCCTCACCGGGTGGAAATACCTTTCTTGAAAGCAACACATAATATACGCCTACAGAGAGAAACAGAACAGAAACTCTTTTGAAATGTGCAAAGTAGATACTGGTAAAAAAATAACCACCTCTCTCCGGATTATAGTACCAGGGGTACAATTTTTAAAAGGCTGTTGGAATGAGAACGGATTTTTTTCAGAGATTTGTAAAAATATACGTGAGAAAAAAGAAAAAATTATGACGATGAGTGAGTCTGTTTCCGCCTCTTTCCGCCGGGATTCGCCCCCGAGCAACGCCCCGCCCCCCGCAACAACGCCCCGCCCCCCGCAACAACGCCCCGCCCCCCGCAGCAACGCCCCGCCCCCTAGAGGCAACGCCCCGCCCCCTAGAGGCAACGTCCCGCCCCCTCGAGGCAACGCCCCGCTTCCCCCGCCCCGTCGGTAAGGGGCGTCGCCGCGTCACGTGCCCCGCCGGGCCGGCAGGGAGCCGTGCGGAGCTTCGCTCCCTTGTCCCTCCGCCGTGTGTGGCCGCTGCGCTCGGCGCTCGCTTGCTCAGGCCTGCGGCCCCCCTAGGCTGAGGGAAGGGGGCGATGCTCGCTGCCGCCGCCGCCGCCGTTTGAGCCTCCGTCCCGCGGCGCCGGGCATGGGGCTGGGGTCGAGCTCCGAGGTCCCCGACGGCGGCGCCGAGGGTTTCCATGTACACGGGGTGAGGCGGCTGCCGCCGGGCCCGCGGAGGGAGAGGGCGGGAGGGCCGCGAGGGGCGGCGGGCGCGGCGGCGGGGCCCGTCTGCCCTTGTCCGTCCGTCGTTCCCCCCGCCCCGGTCCCGCTTGAGGGGGCTCGCTCGGGGCGGCGGGCCTGGCGGGTCCGGGCTCCCTGCTCCCGGCTGCCCGGCCCTGCCAGAAAACTGCCACGACGGCGGGGAGGGGCGGTGGGTGCCGGACAGCCGAGGGGAGCCTTTTGGGCGACTTTCGAGGAATTTTAAATACTTCAGTACAGCCCTCCTTCCTTTCTCCCCTCCAAATTCCATTGACTTGAAGATTTGACGAGTTTACGGGTGGATCTTTACAGCATCCTGGCTGCGGGGGTTAATTCCTGCGCCAGCCTGCGTTTTCCTGAGGGGCTACTTCTCCCAGGCGCTGTATGTAGATACAAATTTATTGTAACTCCTCCATCTGGCAAATCGCTCGCACGTTGGTTTAAATGCGTATCTTGGAGGGCAAGGATAGGCAGAGGTGGATTGCTGATAGCAGTTGTTGCAGAAGTTATAATTACATTTAGTTGGTGGTCTTCCTCCCTGAAATAAGAGTGGGAATGTTGCCACACGCTGCTTTCCACTTCAGCAGCAGCTTGTGTTTCTCAGTATTGCAAGATGTGTTTAGGGTACCAGTATTCTTATGTAATCTGCTTTTGTCAGTCTTCTTAACTGAATTACCTCTATCAGAAATTACTGTTGGTCATGAAATGCCTCCTGCTGTTACGTTAAATGCAGTGTACTCCTCAGCTTTCAGTACGGGAGGATGATTTTGGTGACCTATAGTATGCAGAAGCCAAAGTAACTTTTTTTTTTTACCTCTCCAGGGAATTCATACAACTTATGATATGGTGTCATTTTGAAAACTAAATATTGCAGGATTTTTTACAATTTACACCTTCGGGTGGGAATCTGTATGGCTCTTGGGCATCTGAGCAACAATGTTATGAGCTGCATAATAACTTCCATGTACTTCTTTTTCTGTGCATTTTCATCCTTGGCATTGTGTTACTTGATAGTTTCATGGGAAGGCTTCTTGCACATAATTAAGAATTTGGATTTAGAATAAACTTTTTTAACCTTTGGTTCAGTCTAAGCTGGCTGTTTGCTTTTGATGCAGTTTAGGGTTGTGATGAAAGCTAATACTTCATCCCCAGTTGGGCTTGCAGTGGTCAGTCTTGACTATTTAATAATAAAGCATGATTTTTTTTTTTTTTTTTTTGCTTTAAAAGCTTCTGCTGAAGTAACCATGCTATTACAGATGTATATTTTATAACTTGTATAGACAGTCATGCCAGCAAACGCCCCAATACCAATACAATTTTATCTATTAAAAAAAAAAGGTAGTTTGCTAACTCAAGACCAAATATGAGATGTAGCAATTTTAACTTTGCTAGCAACGATCTTCTTAATTTAGATGATGTGCAGGTTGTAACTTAGCACTTAAATTGTAGGATGGCTTTCAGGAGTCAGATATATTGCAAGTTAAGGGCTGTGCTGCTGAGTTAACAAAAAGTAAAGTTAAAAGCAGTTCAAACTGTTACCATGCTTGCAGTGGTTCCCTTAATATCACATTTACCTTGTATAAGGTATACTTTTGAAGTGGGTATACTCTCATACACTCTGCATATATTAAGTTCTGTGTAATGTTTGGTGGGTTTTATCCTGGCGTGAATGCATTCTAATAGGTATTTTCTGTATTTCATTATTGCATCTGCTCTAAGATAACTTGGTTATAGTGAAATTGAGATGTTGCAACTCTTATTTCTTATGAATCTTTTGTAAATGATGGCAATCTTCTTGACCAGTACTTGTGGTTAGCCATCCGTTTGTAGCATACTCCTTAAGTGCTCCTATTCCAATGTGCTGTAAATTGTGTTTATGTAAAAAATGGGTGTGATGTAATTGAGGTCTCTCGATGTGCTCAGGCTATTAGTAGCATGGAAGAAAGTTTTCAAAGTGCTGCTTCAGACTTAAGCACTTCTCCAAAGTCTTCAGTATTTATTAATTCCATGCTGTGCACTCTGACTCGCAATACTTGTGTCTTGTATGGGGTTAAACCCCTGTTTTTTACAATTTAGTTTGGACACCTGTTGTTCATAGTTTTATAAAAATAAGTTCACAATTGCAGACTGTTTCCTGAGGCCTGCCATTTAGTATCTTATCTCTGGTTCACGACAAATGTAAATATTGAATTAAGTGTAAAGATTAACACTGTCACTTAATGTAACTAGAGAGCAATGTATAATAAAAATAAAATGTATGTTTTGCAGGTTCAAGAAAACTCCCCGGCTCAACAAGGAGGACTGGAACCTTTCTTTGATTTCATCATTGCCATAGGACACACTAGGCTTGTAAGCCTCAAATGATTTTATTGTTGTCTTTTTTTTCCCTGCATGAAATACGGGTATTGTAATGATGAAAAGCGGAAGCCAAAGCTGTTGCAGTAAAAAAAGCTTTGCATATTGGAGATTGTATATGGCATTAAAAAGGCAAAGTAAAACTTGGTGGTGTTCAAAGTCTCCTCTCTGGCTGGATCCAAATTTGAGGAAAGAGTCTTATTTATGCATTTACTCACTTTAACTTCCTAACAGATTAACACAATGTTTATGGTATTACTCATTCATCCATGCTTTCTGCTACAAGGTGAATATTGAGCTGGTGAGTCAATGGTAAGAGCTCAACATTTGTTCAAACAAATGTGTTTCAACATTTGATAGAACATGAAAAAGAATCAGAGGCTGTCTGCTTTTACTTTAAGACTGGGAACATGGTTTCTGTATGTTGATTTTTGGTTTGGGTGTGTTGTGTTTTTTTTTTTTTTTTTTTTTTCCTTTGTTTGTTTAAAAAGCTCACAGCTTTGGCTGTGTGCTTCACTCTAGCAACATACAAGCTGAATTAATTAAGTTTGTCTTGCTTTTATTAGTGGGGGTGTCTTTCTTTCTGGAAGTGATCATTATACTGGTAGATTTTGGTGGAAGATCGTTTAATCTTTTAACGTGACAGAAATAATGATAATACTTTAAGCTGCTCCCGGATAGTCTGTCCTTTCACAGCCGGTTTGCAATGACTTGGAAGGGTTATTGAATAAGGACTGGGATCAGAGGCATGAAGTAAAATGTTGCTGCTTATTGTTAGACTACATAGTTGAGATCTAATATTGCTGATATGATTTAATAGCAGTTCTTCATAACAGGAATGTAAGTGATGAAACGGAGTAATAGTAAGTACTTATGTAAAGGGACAGGAGCTGACAGTGCTGACTTCTTTATAATAAAAGAAAATTGAACTGCTGGGACTGATCGTGAAACACAGAACCTAAACGTCAGTGTTTTTAGTTATTTTTATTCAAATTCTGCCACAGGTGTGACATCTGTGTTACAGGTGCAACTGGAAATAATGCTGTATCTCTTTCTGTGCTCTACAGAATAAAGAAAACAATATGTTGAAAGATCTGCTGAAGGCAAATGCTGAAAAAGCAGTGAAGCTGGAGGTGTATAATATCAAAACAATGAAAATAAGAGAGGTGGAGGTGATCCCGAGTAACATGTGGGGAGGCCAAGGTCTGCTTGGAGCCAGTGTGAGGTTCTGCAGTTTCCAGGGAGCCAATGAACATGTGTGGCATGTTTTGGTGAGACAGAATTCTTCGGTGGCTTCTTAGTGTTCGTACAACCTTGTTTTAAAGTATAATGTTTAGAAATAACTTGTATGTAGAAGTACAGTACTGAAATCACACAGAAGAAGGGAACAGAGTCTTGAAGGTTTGTCTGAGCTATTTGAATAGGGACAAGTACTGGGTGACTGTTAGTGTTGCCTGTCACTATGGAAAAAATTAACTGCGTCCCAGTTTGACCAAATAGTGTTTGATGGGAAGAAGGTCTTTTTGTCTTATGTTGGAGAATCACTGGCAAAAGCAAAAGGATTCTCTCCTGATTAGTGTGTCTGTGTTGGCTTTAACTTCATTAAATTAATATTAATGTTACAAAAAGCATCAAAAAATATTTTAAGAGGGAGAGCTGAAAGAGTAGAACTGAATAGGAAAGACTGTTTTGTTTCTGGTTGTTTAAACAAATGCAACTTCTCAACAGCTTCAGAGTATCTCATTTTGAATTGGTAGCATCTCGGTCTTTCTTACTCAGTATGTTTTACAAGAGGTCACACCTAGATGTAGGCTGTTCAAGAACTTCTCTTTAGTCCCATAAACAGAATGTTCTTTTCCTTCTTGTTTCTGGAGTTAGCTTTCCTTTTTGATCTTGGGGTAGTTTATCCCGCTGCACGTGCAGGTGACACGTGCCACTCTTCCACAGGATGTGGAACCTGCGTCTCCTGCAGCTCTCGCCGGTCTCCAGCCGTACACCGACTACGTTGTTGGATCCGATCAGATTCTTCAGGAGGTAGGGCACGTGTTCCTTCGAGCCGTAATTGTCTTCATGCCTGCCAAGTGCATGTTGTCAGGTTTGGATTTTTTTATCAATCTAATTGCGTGTACATCAAATGTATGGGGATAGTGTTTGGGGATTTGGGGAGGGTGATGTTTGACAGGTGCTTTAAGGTTGAGGTAAGCGTTATCTTTTTTTAATGTGACAATTAAAAAAAAAGTTGCCCCTAAAAATCGAACTACACTAGTGAGTTTTAGTCTGCCTCTGGGTTTTTAATATCTCACATTGAAGTAAATAACTATGTAAAATGCTGACTTGCTTCCAGCTCCTTGTCTTGCGCGTTTGAGTTTAATAACTAGTACTTTCTTTTTTCCTTAGTCAGAGGATTTCTTTTCACTGATTGAATCCCATGAGGGGAAGCCGCTGAAGCTGATGGTTTATAACACTGAAGCAGATTCCATTCGTGAGGTAGTTGTGACTCCCAATGGAGCCTGGGGTGGAGAAGGAAGGTACTGCTCTCCAGTCAGTCACTGGCTGATGATGGTTATACACTCCCTGTAAATGAGCTCCCGTTAAATTACAGCTTGTTGTTTTCAAGTTAAGCCTTGTTTCCTTACACTTGTCGCACAAAACTGTTTATCTTTTCAGAAAAACACTAGCTTAGAGCTAGGTTTCAGGCATGCTCTGGGTCGAATCCTGTTTGAATTGAAACGAATGACAAAACCTGGGTTGACTTGCCTCGCAGCAGATTCACTAGCTACATTCTCATAGTCAGCAGTTAAAGCAAGAACAAAAGCCACATCAGGTCATATTTATATATTTTTGTAAAGATATAATCAACTGAAAGCTAAGCTATGTATGTTTAAATGTCCATTGCAGAGTGCTCCTTGAGTACTATAAGTGAAATGATTCTTACAGCTAAGTATTTCTTGCTATAAAGACTCAAATGCTTTTTGTTTTAAAGAGTCAAAATTTTTAAAATGCTTATAGCTTTAAGAACACCTTTTTTTTTAACTCTTGTTTTACTTGTCTTGTACAGTTTAGGATGTGGTATTGGATATGGCTATTTGCACAGAATTCCAACACAGTCTATAATATCAAAGAAAAAGCCAGAAAGCAAACCACCTTCACCCTTACCAGAAGGTGAAACTCCTGTACCATCTACTAATGGTTACACAGAGGTATGTAGGAAATAAGTTCATATCCCTGGCATGTTCTCTGGAATTTCAAAATTTTCTATTTGTTGGAGCATTCATAATACAGTATATTTGAGTACAACATACACTTTTGCTTGAATGGAGTTAGGTGAAGGGGGAAGGTGAGAGCTGATGCTGCTGAGCAGATGACAGATCACCAGTGTTGGCTGATAAAAACTTTTGCCAGGTATTTTCTTCCTGTTTTGAAGCCTTATGTACTACAGGTGTATCGGTCAACGAGAATCACCCTGCTTGCTAGGAAGTACAACACATCTACCAGAATTAAGTATGGACTGTTCTAAGAACATACTGTCTGTAAAAGCCTACACTGACACATGGCCTCGTCAGTGGTTTGATTATCAGTTTCAGCATCACAGGTTCTCTCTGTATTGGTGTACTTGGAGACTCAGGCAGAATGCTTTCATAGGAAGGTCATCTTCAGGTGAAGCTTTCAGTATAAAAAAATGCTTTTCCTTCTTGCTGTGTTATTCCAGACTCCGTTATTGGCGCCTACTTCTCAGAGTGACAGCTCTGAAATAATTACGAACTTGGATCATTCCACAGATAAAGAAATGAGCGGTCATTCACCAGAAAGCTCACTTTCTCCTCCTCCCCCTCTCCAGAGAGTTATGGATCCAGGTATATTTTCCTGAGTGCTTTTTTCAGCAATTCTTTAGAGGACATCAAAGTAAACTGGTAAGGTCTTAACCAAGTTTGAGACTTAAATACAGAACTATGAGCATTAGTGGTTGTTTTCCTTGAAGTTTTTGACTTCACTGGATTTCAGAGATGTAAAATCTGGGTACTGTGAACCTGACTGAGGTTAACATTCTGCAGAAGTCTTTCCCCTGATGTCAGCCAACATTTAGGTTAAATTTATTTTCATTTAGTGGGGAGGGGACTTCACTGACTTCAGTCTGGATATAATGTGACTTTTTGAATCTACAATTTTGTGTTCCATCTAAAACAGTACTGTAATATTTGCCTTCTCCTTCAGGATTTCTAGATATGTCTGGTATTTCATTTCCTGAACTCACTAACTTAACAAAAGTGTCCAACATGTCTTCATCTGTCTCCTTCAACATGTCAGCAGCAGATGCTTTAGTGGGCACTGAAAAGTTAATGTTGAACAACGATGCTTCTGCTTATTTTGGTAAGTATTCAAGGTTTTCTCTAGGCCTCTGACCTAATTTCTGGAGTGGCATCAACTCGCACCTGCTCAATGGTATCATGCTTTTTGGAAATAAGCCAACTTTAAGAAAAATCAGAAGGGGTTTGGCTAAAATGAGATGGAAAAGATAGCAGAAATCAGGTGAAGTGGACAAAAACTAATGGGCTTTTTTATAAGGTTATAGAATGTGTGCCTTTTTCTTTAAATTAAAATGCTGATGATTCAAATTAAACTGACCTTAAAAGTAGCTATTTCTAAAATCAGTGTAAATGAATTTTTGTACCGCAGGCTTGTCTTCACAGTTGCAAAGTAAAAACAAAGTTGCAATCATCTTAATAGTGACTTTTGTATTAAAAAAAAAAAAATCTTCACATTATGGATGCCTTTCCCTTTTAAAAGGTGGGGTGACTAGGAGTTGTAACACAGAGTAAAACTTCTCTAGCATAATAGTAGAGCAGACCAAATGGTCTGTGGTCTCTTAACCTGCTTGCACCATCAGCTTTTCTGGATTTGGGGAGAACTGAATAAACACAGCCCATGTATGTGCCATTTGTGAATCTGGTTATGTGCTAGTACACGGTATCTCAGTCAAGTTGATTTTTCTAGACGTATGGGAGCCAGAGGCACTGTCTGTTAGCCTGACACGTTTTGGTTTTTTTTTTTTTTTTTTTTTTACAATTTCCCAGAAAACTCCCCAGCTTTGGACCCTGAAGATATAACCATGTATTCCGAAGGCTCAGTCAAGCAGCCTGAGTTGGACAACCTACTGCCTTCTGTTCCATCGTTACCTTCTTTTGCTCTTCCTAATGAAATTTCTTCAAAAACAACACTAGGAACTGATCCAGATAACCAAGAAACAAAGCTGCTCTTAAACAGTATCGAGAGCTCGTTAACCAGTACTCCTGTGAAGGCAGATGATGCAGCAGCATGTGAACAGAAAGAAGCAGCAGCTGTACAAGATCATGAGTGAAACGATGCTGCTTTTGTTTACAGACTGTCATATGCTGTAATGCTACAGCTTGGAGTATTTTTCTGATCTTGAAAGAATTATGGTTACTCTATTTTGTTAGTGTAGACAGTATTATAAAAGAAACTACACAAAATACATATCCTATTGTCTTTTCCAATCACTGTTTAATGGATTGATCTGTGTTCAAACTTTGCTGTCCAAAATCACCAAATTAATGGAGAAATTAATGCAGAAACACGTTGGAGACTGGCAAAATGTCAAGTTCCTGAATTCACATTTGCTTACAAATGCTCCTGAATGTATTTCTGAAGGCACTCTGCCTGAACAGTGACACTTAACAATGATTTTTTTTCAGGATGATTGATGGCATTAAAAAAAAGTATTTATGGTTTTGACTTGCTGGAAGGCTTTTTGAAGGGCACAGTTCTTATGACTTTCAAGGCATTTCCTACCCTAAGGTATCTTTATTCCTACTTACTATTCTGCAAACTGTTGTTTTTCTCGTTTAAAATTGTTGTTTTTCTTGTTTTAGGGTCCATTCTCTGTAACAGTTATTTATGTACCTTTTCTACACCTACTGTTGCAGGAAGGGAAGTACCATATGGTTTGGAGTTGCAGCAGAGACACGGGACAACATTATGTTTGTGGGTCCTGTCAGTCACTTCAGTTCTAGTGGACCCTGGGGTGGTCTCACAGTTTCTTAAAAAAGAAGTAGGACAGAAATTGTAATGACTGAAACAAACTGAAGTCAAAGATGATTTTTCATGTGTGTTTTCAGAGTGATTAACACTTTCAGTAGAGATGAATACGTCTCTAGTTTTTGTAGAGACAGAGAAATAGCTTTTCTTGAGTTGTGCTTTTCTATTTACCTATTTGTATTCTTATTTCAAATTGTAAGTTTAAGACATGAGGCTGGAACATCCATTGCTTTTTGCAGCTTCTTTGTTTGCACTTGTCTTCAGATTGCTTTAATTGTTCATTTCATGTTTGCTATTACATGCAGAAGCTCCATGGATGTTTTTGTGCCCCCCAGAGCAATGACTTATCTTGGCATTTTAAAGCTGCTGACTGGGAATAACTTCAGTGTAGTTGGTACAGTTAATGTGGTGAAAATCCTTCTTAAATTAAGAGAATGGGGTACAAGGTTAGGGGGTGTGTGTAAGCTATAAACTATATTTAGCACTATATTGTCTAATTTTCACTTCTGTCTCCTGATCAGATCATCATTGTGCCTGATGGAGATCAAGTGAAAAGAGTGCAGGCAAAGTCACAGCATGAGAGGGCTTCAGCTGACTTACACCCTCACATAAAATCCATCCTTTGTCTTCCTTCCTCTCCCTTGTTAGTCTTAAATACTGTTTTCACATAAACTGCAGTAGTTCTGAACAGGGTGGTCAAAATATATTTTGCTTTAAAGAAGAATGCATTAAGCCCCAATTGCAGGGAGTAGAATTAAGAGATTTGAAATAGATTTCCTCCTTTTTCCCCCTCAATTGCTACAACTGTGAACAAACACTAAAAATAAATGTAATGTAAGCTATTGGTCTCAGAGCCTGATGACACCTAGGAGGGGATCTATTTGTCTTTTTGTTGTTGTTTAGAAACAGTCCTCACTAGTCTTAGGCCTTTGTCAAAATTGGTTTTGAGCTCCTAGTAGCTCATTTAAGTGATACTGTACCATAAACACCCTTTAGAAATTTAAGAGCAGGGAATGTCAAAACTCACACTAAACTTTAGATGTCACAGGAGTAAATGGCTTAACACTGAGAGCAGTCCATGTCCAGCCTATTTTGTGTTAACTGGCTCATGGAAGGGGAGGGGGGAATCTTCATATAATCATGAAGGCTTGATTCTTTTTTTTTTTTATAACATCCAAGAAGAATGTAGAAAACCAAATAAATAGAAAATTAGGCCTCTAGCAGTGGTATGCTGTATTTTCCTAACCTATAACTTTATAATCTAAGTGCTAAATGAGGTGAAGAGATAAACTTCCTCATCGCCTTCCTTTTGTCTTGATAATTTAGAGATTACTTTTTGAGATGCCTGAAGCTACCCCCCCACTGAAACAAAGAGAAGTAGAAAGTACTGTCTTACTTATGGGTACAAAAATGAAAAAGCTGATTAGATTTCAAAATAAAACTTAAACCAAATCATAGTAGCTCCTTTGGGAGTGGTTAGATTCGGAGAGGATCCAATTCTGCTCTTGGTACAAGCGCAGACAGCAGGAGCCATCCCCTCCAATACAGCCTCAGTGCTGCAGACCAGGCTGGGGCACTTGTGATACCTTACTGCTGCTGACACCTTAATTTGAGGAAAATTCAGGAACAGATTGACCAGGTACTACTGCTGAAAGAAATGGACTGGAATAATAAAGGTAGTGTTGTACTTTGGCCTGAAACAAGTAGCGTGGCTGTAGAAGACAGAGCTATCTTTGAGTGAAAGGGCTTGAATTTTGTGTTTGGGATTTGAAACAAATCTACCCTCAATCAGCTCCTGTTTCCAGAGAAGTAGGAGAGCTGTATAGTACCTTGTTTGCCTCTGTAAACCTGACGGATAGTTGTTTTGCAGCCCCAAGAAGGCTTATCTCAGCAGAGTCACAAGGAGGAGGAGGTCACCTCAGAGGGCCGTGTACGCAGGCGGCAGCGGTGGCTGTGTGGGACACGGCCCCGCGCTTCAGGGTGGCCATACACACGAGGATAAGCTTCCAGACCTCAGCTGCTCTCTAATAGCCAAGCCTGAGGCCAGGAGTGTGGCAGATTGAACCCAAAGAGGCTAGCGGAGCTTGAGTGTTACAGCAAGGATTGGGTAAAGCTCGTCTCCTCTGAGCCAGGCCCTCCCTCCACCCAGATCCTCACAGCTCTGCTCAACAAAGGCTGGAGCAACTCGGTCAAGCCTTGCCCGGAGCAAGGCTGACTGCAGCAGGTGGGACTGAGCCCTCCCGGCTGAAGTGAGTGACTTGGAGAGCACTAACCCTGTACCAGGAATGATCCTGACCCCCAAAAAATCATGATGAGGAAATAACCATCCTAGAGCTAAACATACAAATCTCATTATTATAACAGCAATACAGAAGCTGAACCAAGTCCAGCTGAACTTGAATGTCTGAAGGAATGTATTCAGTGTCTTTAAGGTGAACAACTATTGGCAAGAACTGTTGAAATATCAAATTCAGGGACTGATGGCTTTGTTTTCCCTCCTCAACTTTCACAGCAGGCTTGACAAGTTACTCAGTCTTCTAGGCTGTGCTCAGAGGCTGCTCATCCGAGTTGCGATGCTTGACTGAACTCCTCTTAGCTCTAACTGAGAAACGCTGCAGGAAGACAGACTGCACAGATCACACCCACTCCCCGGAGTGCAGATGGGCTTGAATCGTGCATTTCCAGCCACTCAGGAGTTCAGAATTCAATCTCCCCTAGCACTAAGGATTACTGCACTATCTGGGGTAGTGGGACACTTCAGCTAACCCCCTGCTCCTGCCCCACAAACTGAGAAGAAATGGAGAGCAGCAGAGGCAGCCTCCCAGGGAGAAGCCTTTAATTCAGCATTCCCCTCAGCACTCTGATGTTTCTCCATCTTTCCCCATCACTGGGAAAATATTTTCGTCTCCAAACAGTTACAGAAGAACCAGGCACCACTGCCTCTGGCTGTTAAATGAAAGCAGCTACAGGTTGCTCATTGCACTTGATTTGACTGTTATTCTTATTTCCTGGGCATTGCCACTAACGTCCACACCTCCTCCCTCTTTGCTTTTGCCTTAAGCAAACGCTGATTTGCATTGGTTCTGCTGTAATGGCAATTTCAAAGCAATTTTTTGGATTAGGTTATATTTCTAAACTACAAAAAGTAATTAAGTATTCACAGTCCCATTAAAAAGATGGCTAGAACAGTGTCACAATATCCTCAGAGAGAGAGCAGGCATGTCCCACCCAGTCCCTACCAGTCCCTCCGGTCTGCATGATGTTTGTACAGCTGCTTACAGAAAAAGCTCCACCACATAGTACAGGAAACAATTTTAGTCAATTGCTTTCTTGATATTTAAGGGTGTGTGTGCTTTTAGCAATTCCATTATCTAGCTGGGTGGTAACTCCACCTGGCTCTCTCTGGGAGCCATCAGCACATGGACAAGTGTAAGATCGTGTGCTTAAAGACTGAAGCCAAATGTCAAGTTCAAGAAATTTCTAGGGATAAAGTTTGAATCAGACAGGCCCTCTGTGAAAGAAAAAGTGATACCTTGGTATAACGTACTGGCCAAAATTTGGAGTCCTGTAAGTGGATTCAACAGCCCCTCTGTACCTTCACCTCTGGCAAACACCTTCTCTCCCCTTCCCTGGCACCTCCACACTAACTCGCCTCAGCAAACTGACCTCTGCCACTTCCCTCTCTCCCCGCTGAGTCGGCAACTCTCAGATGGACGTGTTGAACAGATCCCCACACTCCAGCCTGCGGGACCTGAGCCAGGGGACGGCCGTCTGCCCAGAGCTCCCCACACTGCTCGGCTCAAGAGCGACCGAGGGGCGCACGGTCAGGCCCCTCACTGCCTCTCTCCCGTGGAATAGGGGACTTACTCGCTCAATTGTTCCAGTCCCTTGTTTTCCCACCACTCAGCAATGAGGTAGAGCTACTTTATCTCCTGCCTAAGGCTTATTTTGAGTATTTATTCTTCAGTGTTGCTAAAAGTTAATGCTAAATCCTTCAAGTGGTTCTTCGCTTCCTAAAATGATACTTGCACTTGAGCTGCAACTACTAAGCCTAGCTCTTCTGTTCTCAGCACTACCCCACCTCAAGAGAAAAAATAATATCCTGTCATAGACAAATTAAATGTTTTTCTGGGAGACATTCTACTAAATACTAGATTTATAACTCATTTCCATTATAAACTCAGAAATTTTAAAAAAATCTTCCACGAATCAGTAGCCTTTCCTATGATTCTGGCAAACGGGAACTCTGTTCACAATGTCCCGCTGAGCTCTGACTCTCACATTAACTCCTTAACCGCGGGCAGGGGCCTCTCCTGTTCCTGCTTTCAGGACTCTTACAGACAGCACAGTTCCAGAAAAGGTGATAGAAATTAAAGGGGAATAGCAAAAATCACCTCTCACTTGACACTCCATCTAAGATGGATGCTGGGAGCCTCTGGGAACACATTTGGTCACTGAATTACCGCGTCCTCTCCGATAGCAGCCCAGCGGACAGTCCCCACAGCAGATGCTTTGAGCATTCTCTACCGGCATCTTCAGCATGAGGAAACTCAGTCTCAGTTTCCCACGTGTCTCTTACAGGGCTGTAACCTTTTCACATCCAGAAAACTCGGTGCCAACTGGCACGAGTCACTTGTAGCAGGGCTGTTTTTTCTGATGCGCTACATTGCTGTTAGTTCAAAATATTTTCAGAGTACCAAAGCACGCACTGCGCAGGTGAACAGCATTACTCGAGCACATTCTCCACCTCAACAGGATCGCAGAGCTTGCACTTGAAGGCTTGTACGCTTGCTAAATTCCTATATTCAACCATATTGCATGATGATCTTTAAGGGAACTTGTTAAGGCACTGCCATTTCTTTAGCCACTCCATTACTTGAGGCTTCAAAGGACTGTGAAGTCCTTTGCAGTACAAGCATTAAATGGCAACGGTCCAAGCTCTAAAAGTACATTAATTGATCCAATACACAAAACAACTGGAAAATGTTTTAACTAAAGCCTTTTATTCTATACAACTGTGAAACATCATTTACTCTTCTGGCATTGCAGACTCTTCTGTCAATCTTTCCTGAAACTGTTTCGGGATGGTTAGAAAGGAAAAAAAAGAAAAATTACAACCTTGGCTGATTTCAAACAGAATCACTGGGAGCAATTCCAATGTATACAATGGGACAGCAAAATAACAAGGAAAAAAAAACCAAACCCAAACGATGCCTACTGGAACAAGCTAGACCCTTGCTATTAATAAATACAAGTCAGGACAATTTATCAATAAAAGTTACAGTTCTGTTTAACCATTTAATTCACAAATATCACTAAAAGTGTGCCGTCATAGCACAGCTGTGTCAAACTGAGCATACACAGAAATGGGGATTAAAAACTGAAACTGACTCTCAAAAGACAGGGAAGAAGACATGCTAGCTTAGTTCTGAACCACACTGTTTAAGCAATGAGTTTGTTTAGCTAGGTTAAGAGTGCAGAAGGTAATGATTTGGCTATTTCTTCAAATAAAATACGATGAAAAATATTTTACTTTTTGTTTGACCAATACAATCCCAGTAATACAATTTATTGGGACTTTCTTTAGGCCTCAACCTAAATCTTGATAGCAAGATACAGGAAGGGCAAGAGCATATGTCTCCCGAAGAAACTCGAATAATATACTGCCCTTTGAAGGCACTTGTGCTTCTGCTTCAGACAAGAGTAATTTTTACACACTTTCTTTACGAGGATTTGTAATTTGTTCTGGCTACAAATGGTTTTCTGGGACATCCCCACATTTTATCATGAAAAGCTGAAATGCCTTTACCCCCCTCCCCCCAATAAGTTAAACTCTATAAAA